GTGTGTGTGACTCAAGAAAACAAAATGTGTTTTCTCCTTTATAACAGATGAATACGTGTGTGTGTGACTCAAGAAAACAAAATGTGTTTTCTCCTTTATAACAGATGAATACGTGTGTGTGTGACTCAAGAAAACAAAATGTGTTTTCTCCTTTATAACAGATGAATACATGTGTGTGTGACTCAAGAAAACAAAATGTGTTTTCTCCTTTACAGCAGATAAATACGTGTGTGTGTGTGACTCAAGAAAACAAAATGTGTTTTCTCCTTTGTAATAGTTTAATGCATTTGTCCATCTTTCAGTGGACCTTTGAAAATAAAATGAGTATGTAGACCTGAGCACAGCAATTCTGTTTCTGTCATTCATAACTGAATTCAAAGCTCATTTGTTTTGTAATAATATTTTGGGGTCTGAAAGGACATTATTACAATGGTAACATATGCAATGCTATAAAAGATGTATATAATTAAAAGAAAAAAAATCTCAAACTTGAAAATTTTCAATTGTGATCAGTTCCATGATGCTAATTAAATACTTGCATTATAATGTTTAGTAAGTAGTGCTAATCACAATTTAATTACCTAAACACCACAACTAGGCCTAAGCTGTTCTTTGTGTTATGAGGTTTACATCTGTGGAACTTCACAAGGAAAAAAAGTTACATTTTAAATCCTATAATCATATGCTCTGTTTACTATGATATTACTTTGCAACCATCTGTAATATCACCAAGATTTACATTCTTTAAAAGATTAAAAATGAAAGTAACCAAGAAAGACCATGAAATTAGATAAAATAACTTGGTATGATTGATGTTTGTGCACAGTTACAAATATGATGTTTTAGATTTCTAAGACGGATTGCTCACTCATTACATTTATGTATATGGTATGTCTAGACGTAACTGTTCAAATAAATTAAACTCTTAAGTGAATCACGTTTAATTAAATATGCAACAAAAATTACAATAATTTTTCCATATGTTATTTCTATGTGTTTCGTTTCACTGTTTAATAGCTGACAGCTCACTGTCAGGGAAACATTTAACATGTTAGTTCTTTTTGTCCTACAAAACAACTCCAAATGATTAGATGGAAGTTAAGCAAGAGTGCTTCATTACCTTTCTTCAAATACTGACTTCCCTCAAACATTAATTACTAGTCAAAAATAAAACCACTTTTCAATGCAGGTATATTTTAAAAACTTGTATTAAAATGTTCCATCATCAACAGATATTTGCATTAATGTTGTATAGAAATTTGAGTATTTGGCCAGTTAATGTACCCTACTACTTTTACGCCTAAGTATTTTTTGCCTGAGTTACTCTGACATAACATGACAAGTGATAAGTTCATGTTACCATATGCAGATCAGAAATCAGTGTGGGAATGTTTTTTTACATGGTTCTTTCACCACAGCAATGTAACATTATGCTTAATAGACCCCTATTAAAGCAGAAAAAAATAATACCACAACGTACCATGCCCTCTGGATCTTCATTGATTTCTATTCTTCCTTCTTTAGTAATGAGGTTGTTAAGTTCGTCAATCAAAACTAGAGTGGGGATACCTAGAAGAGAAACAGAAACTGTGTTAAAAGGAGGTTTGTATTAGCATCACAAATTTTTAACATTGGTTACGTGCGACACCAACCATAACACTATGCATAGCAATTAAAGAGTTGAGTAATAATATATACTAAACAATTTTGATTATGCAAATCAGCAAGTCATGTGGCTTAGAACTACATCATGAGATTGTTTGGTGTTTCACAGGTAGTGTGATACCATCAGAAACTGATTGCTTTCGGTAGGTTACGTAAAGAATATTTCTGATGCATTATGTTCATACACTCAGGTCATAAAGATGTGTTCACATCAGGGACTTGGAGTTTTAAAATTGGGGATATCCCTTGCACTTTAATAGCATTGGTAAATGAAGGAATATGGATGGCTTGGGGTAGTAAGACTATTTAGAAACAAACGTTCAATAAGTAGTATCTCAGTCATGTTAAGCAAAGTGTGGCATCTTCTAAAGGTTAAAATCTGCAAACACAAAAATGTCAATGGAAAATGTCAGCTAGATGTAACAATATATAAAACAATCAAGAAAAACCTTCACATAGAAATGGGTCAACAAGGTAGAGGTTCACCAAGATACACAGAAATGAGTCAACAAGGTAGGGGTTCACCAAGATGTATAGAAATGGGTCCATAAGGTAGGGGTTCACCAAGATAAGACTCCCAGTCATATTTCCTGCTCAAACATTGCATACCTCAAACAGCTGGAGGATGAAATGGGTATAGAAGACATACTGGTCAAGTTGATGGATGTAGCAACAATGGGTCCATGCAATCAAACTCTTGAAATGAGATCTAAATGTATTATGGAAAGCATGCTGGGACAAGTGGTGCACTTTGGATATGACAGCCATATAATGTATCCTTCTGCCATGGAACTATACTGTAAGGCTATTGTCCAGATACATAGTCATCAGATATAGCATGACTAGATGCAGTGACACGGACTGTAAAAATACACTGAGACTCCAAAATCATTTTAATACAACATATTCAACTTTCTGTACAAAATTATATCAACGTTTTTAGTTAATTACAGTAGTTCTAAGTGTTAAAAAATCACACAATCAATTAGCACAAGTAACTTGGTACTTTTGATTTAGCTAAAATAATTAACTCAACAACCTATAAAAACATTATTAAACATATTTCACTACTAAAGCTGTTGAACTTCCTACAGTTGTAAATCTACATTCTGGATGGAAAACATTCATAAATAGTGGTCTACTGCAAAAAACAAATGCTTCCTTGAATAGAAATATTCAACACAGTGCGAGCTAATAAATAACATGTTCAGAAACATAAAGTTCTGTAGTACATTATAATTACAATACTTATATAATAAATAACATATAGTTCTGTAGTACATTATAATTACAAGACTTATATAATAAATAACATAGTTCTGTAGTACATTATAATTACAATACTTATATAATAAATAACATATACTTCTGTAGTACATTATAATTACAATACTTATATAATAAATAACATAGTTCTGTAGTACATTATAATTACAATATTTTTATAATAAATAACATAGTTATGTAGTACATTATAATTATAAAATTTTTATATTAAATAACATAGTTCTGTAGTACATTATAATTATAAAATTTTTATATTAAATAACATATAGTTCTGTAGTACATTATAATTACAATATTTTTATAATAAATAACATATAGTTCTGTAGTACATTATAATTATAATATTTTTACTCAGAAACCAGGTAACATACTTTCCTTAAACATTAAAAAACCACTGAATTTTTACTATAGCAGTTGAAGACTGACTGACGAACACAGTGTGTCACCAGTACAGACATTACACTGACAAACACAATGTGTGTCACCAAGTACAGATATGACACTGAAGAATGCAACATGTGTCACCACTACAGACATGACACTGAAAAATGCAATGTGTGTCACCAAATACAAATATGACAATGAAGAATGCATTGTGTATCACCAAGTACAGATATGACACTGAAGAATGCAATGTGTGTCATCAGTACAGACATGACACTGAAGAATGCAACATGTGTCACCAGTACAGACATGACACTTAGGAA